GGAGATGTGGCAAAGCTCTGCAACCTGTACGAGGGCAAGCAGAATGAAGCCATCAAGGCCTACACGATTCGTCGCGTGGAGAACGAGATGTGGAGCATGAAGCTGACGCCTGGAGGAGACACGAACCTCCATCTTTGCAGGATGTTCAACCTCAAGACCGAGTTGGCGCACTTGCAGCATGTTATTGCCGATAATACAATGGTGGATATGCTGCTTGAGACTTTGCCGGACCAGATTGAGTTTGAGCGGTTGAAGTCTTCCATTTACTACGGCGCGGACCCGAGCGTGTACACACCGAAGCGGGTTCGAGAATTGATTCTTGCTGCGGCCGCTCGACAGAAAGAGTTCAGAGGCAAGCGTAGTGAGAAGGGGCCATGGTGGGCAACGAGATGGAAGTGGCAAAGGAGGTCAGCAAAGCAGGACTAGTGGGTCAAAGAAGACGCGGCTATGTTATGTCTGCGGGAGTGATAAACACCTCAAGGCAAATTGCCCGGAGAGGACAAAGAAGCAAAGCGGTGCTGATGACTTTGAGCAGAAGCGAAAACCGCGGGGAAATTGTACCCTGCGCCAGGAGAGCGGTGTTTCATCGAGTCCGACGCAGGATGATGCGGATCCTGGAGTTGTGACGGGGTTAGTGGCGGAGGAGCAGCCAGAGATGCACGAGGAGCTACGAAATGCACATGACGAGCACGTAGAACCACATGGTGAGGAGGAACTACTTAGTGATCACGGTGCAGAAGGTACTGAGGTACTACTGGAGGACAGTGATCAAGGTGCTGCGGACTACGGCAGTGGGTGGTGGTTCTCCGACACTGCGTCAAACTCACATGTGACGGGGAATCGCTCGGACTTTGTGTCGTTCACGGCTGACACGGCGGGCATACGGACTGTCCGTGGAGTGACTCCAACTATTGCTTCACGCATTGCGGGCGTAGGAACGGTGGCATTGGCCACAGAAGTCGGTGGTGAACAAGTTGTAATGTTTCTGGACGATGTGTTTTTCATCCCTGGAGCTGAGTATGGACTGTTTTCACCGGGACTGGCGTACGCTCAAGCATTTGAGTTTGACTATGACATTGCAACTCGAAGCTTCGTCGTCATAAGAGAGGGGAGAGCAGTGGCTGTCGCTACTCCGCAGGAATCTACTTGGGGGTTCCAGGTGATTGGCCCTGGTGAGCGAGAGCAATTCACCCCTCAGGATCGTGCTCTGTGCAACTACACTGCTGCAGAGGGAGTCGGCTCACTGGCACTTTGGCACGAGCGTCTGTGCCACACTTGTCCACAATATTTGAAGACCATGGTGGACAAAGGTCTAGTGCGTGGGATGCTGCTGACTCAGCGGAAAGAGGACACATGCGATGCATGTCATCTGGGCAAACAGAAGAGGAAGACGTACAGGAAGAATTTGGATCGGGCAACCAAGGAGCCGAACCAGGTTGTGTACGCTGACCTCCTAATCCCCAGTAAAGACTGCGGTACACGGTATGAGGCCGTGCTGATCATTATGGACGGATACTCTCGCTTCGTCACGGTACACCTGCTTAGTGACAAGCAAAGTCCTGTGATCAACAGACTCATGGAGTATGTTCTCTGGGTCGAGCGGCAGGCGGGTCGTAATGTCAGGGGTGCGTTGTACAAAGTGCAGCAAGTGCTGACGGATAAGGGCCACGTGTACATAAGCCAGTGCACCAAACTTCCGGATATGGTGCACGTCCGGCTGAATCCCAAACTCCCCCCGGTGTCTCCTCAGCGGAAGAAGCACCACAATAACGCTAGAATTAGCTTTGTGCTCGGGTATGCAGAAGACGTGATCGGATGTAAGGTCTATTTTCCTGACGAGCACACTGCTAAGTTTGTTCCTGATCTGAGAGTGGCTAAGGACGTCATGTACCGTGATCGCTACGAAGTGGACGTGGATGACGAGGACTTGGAGTCGCTGCACTTCGTCAGACGCACGGTGACCGACGCCAGTGACACCGACGGAAGTGATATTGATGATGCCGATCAGGCTTCAAATACGAACATGGCTACACGGGCGAGTACAGTAGTGGCGGGACTAGAGCAAAGCGGTGAAATGCAGTCTACTTTTGAGGACGCCGTTAACGAGAATGTTATTCTCGAGGCGGGAGATGAAAGCCAAGCTATTGTTGATGGAGAGTCAGTGAATGAAGAGCAGCAGGACAACAGTGGTGGTACCGACGAGACTGGCGGCACTGGCGAGCGCCTCGATGGAGGCAAGTGTGGAATTCGTACGCTTGCGACTCCTGCGAACGATGATGAGAAAGTCACTGACAGCGGTGAGGACGCTGCTGAAGAAGACGACGGTGCTGCTGGGGGTGACGACGCCGTGTCGGTAACCGGAACGTGTGGGTCATCGCTGGTAGGAGGAGCGCATAGTGATGCTGAGGAAGAGGAAGATGATGAAATTCTCAATGGTGACGATGTTACTGTGGCAAGTGTCTCAGCTCCGGACGAGCACGAGGGAGATGCAAACCTGTCGCGCACTCAGTCACTGCAAGAGGACTTCGGTGAGACCGAATCGGTCAAGAGGGTGCATTCGAGTGGTCATGCAGCGGCTGGCGAGATTATTGACGCTAGTGTGATGTTCCCACCGACCCTGCCGATGAATATCGGGAAGCGGTCGCATCGTGACGAAACTCCGTCGGAAGAGGTGCGCGTCGAGCGAGATGCAGCAAAGACAGATGTGAAGAAGACACGCACCGGTCTTCGCGAGTACGACGAGCATCGCCGTCCCAGCTACTTGAAGGACTATGTGATGAACGCTGCGCTCAATACCTCGCGTACTCTGGACAAGAATGGACGACCCATAAGAGCAAGTAATGTGAAGATTCCTCGGAACCACCGTGAGATGATGCGTTCTAAGTGGCGAGAGTTCTTTCTGATGGGCGAAATGGAGGAGATTGCAGCGCTGAAAGCCAAAGGTATTATCATGGAGATTCCTGGCGAAGAGATGCCTGAGGATGCACTGCTGGTGAATACGATGTGGGTGTATGACTTGAAGACGGACCACCAAGGATATGTGATCCGCTTCAAGGCTCGCATTGTTGCACTGGGCAATTACCAGCGACCCGGGATTGACTTTCGTGAGACGTTCGCCCCCGTTGCTAGGTTGTCGTCGTTCCGACTGCTGCTGGCGATAGCAGCGGAGCTGGGACTGAGTGTGTTTGGTGGAGATATAAACACCGCATACTTGAATGCTCGTCTGAGTATTCGGCAGTACCTACGATCGATCGATGGCTATCCCTGCAAAGTGAATGGGCATGTGTACGTGGTACGGAAAGTATTGTATGGACTGCGGCAGTCAGGTCACGAGTGGAATACGGAACTGAACCAGTGGTTTCTGGATCACAGGTACCTGCGATCTCTGACGGAGCCGTGTCTGTACTATCGTTTCGAGGGTGAGACGATTGCGTACGTGCTAGTCTACGTCGACGATATTCTCGTAGCGACAAACGACGAGCCGTACAAGGAGCGCTTGTTCAAGGAACTGAACGAAACGTATGGGATCAAGGACCAAGGGCAGCTGGCGCAGTACTTGGGCGTTGAGGTCGAGCAGACCACGGAGCGGATTACGATTCGACAGGAGAAGTACGCAAATTAGATTTTGAATAAGTTGGCTACAATGAGGCTCATGCTGTTGGGAATCCCATGGAAGTGAATGTGCGCCTGGCACCGAGCAGTGATGAAGTGGTGGCGGATACAAGCTTCCCTTACCGTGAGGCAGTCGGGATGCTCATGTACTTGGCCACCAGTACGAGACCGGATTTGGCTTTTGCGGTAGGACAGCTGAGTCGCTTGGTTGCAAAGCCGACCACAAAGCGTGTGGGCACTTTGAAGCGGGTGCTGAGATATCTAGCTGGCACACGCAACTATGGGATCACCTACTCGAGAGGGCAGATAGTTTCGAGTGAAGTGGTGCTGGAAGGATATTGCGATAGTGATTGGGCAAATGATCCTGAGCAACGGAAGAGCACTACGGGGTTTGTGTTTACCCTAGCTGGCGGTGCCATTGCGTGGATGTCACGACGACAATCGATCATTGCCTTGTCCACGGCAGAGGCCGAGTATGTAGCGGCTTGTGAAGCAAGTATGGAGGCGGTTGCAGAGAGTAATATCTTGCAGGAGATCCTGCCTCATCACACTATCCGGCTACGGATTGGAGTGGATAACCAAGCAGCTCCCGTGATGGCTACAAGCCCGACCTACAGCCGCCGCACGCGGCACATTGAGCTACGTTGGCACTATGTGCGGGAGCAAGTGCAGAAAGGAGCTATTGAGCTGCACAAGGTGAAGGGTGAGCAGAACCCTGCCGACACGTTCACTAAACCTCTTGACAAGAAGAGACTCAAGGCGTTGCTGTTGCTGGCCGGTGTTGGAAGCGTGCAATAGGCGAAGAGTGCTCTTCGAGGAGGGCGTGTTGGAATGCATATCTGAGACCTGGTCATGGCAGTTGAGACGAAAGCTGAGAAGCAGAGAAAAGCAGGTCGTTGTATGGGAACGGGTAGGAACCCGTGAGTGTTGGTAGGAGCTCAGGCAGTGAGCAGCTAACGCTCCATCAATTAAGTCTTCATTTTATCCTTCGTAGGCACAAGGTGCTCGGATCCGGTGCAGGTTCCATTAGCTACATGCTAGATGCTGAACTTTCAAATGCACAGGACCCCTGTGAGGACTCACGATCAAGCACAGATCGGCCTACTGCCCGAACGTTTTGACGGCCGCCTGGTAATAGGGAGAGCAAGACCCACGGCTCTGCTTTGTGATATTATGTTTGCTAGCCGAAAGCACACGTGTAGTGGATACAGCCCAGCATAGTGTTCATTACCAAGCTGGAACGTTCTAATTTTTACATTTAGGACAGTCTAAATTCTAACTTTCAGAAGTCCTGACTGATTGGCAAACACCTGACCGAATTGTAAATTCCAAGTCAAACTCCTGACCAAATTGCAATTTCCCCTTAAAGAAAGCCTGAAGTAACGAGATTTGGCACTTCTGATAAACTTTGTTGAGATATCCCTATAAAGATGAAGTACCAGATCCCAATACCTCAGGCCTTAAACATCAAAAACTAATCCGCGATGTCCCTATCTCCCAACGGACGGATACTTCACTCGAACTCCACCGCTTACTGGCGACGACGCTCCTCGTACTCACGCAGCACCTCCTCCGCAGACTTGTTGGACGTCTCCGGCACCAGCTTGAGCGACAGCAGGAAGAAGATGGCCAGCAGCACGATGAACGGAAGATAGCTGTAGTCGTCCAGCGCGTCCGCGATGTACGGGTACGCCACGCCGACGATCAAGTTGCACAGCCAGTTGGCGCCGATGCCGATGGACGTGGCCGTGGCGCGCACCGAGTCCGGGAACAGGTCGGCCGTGATGACCCACACGAGCGGCCCCAGCGTCACGCCGAACGCGATCACGTACAGCGCCGTGAAGACGATGGACAGCGCCGGCACGTCCACGAGGAACGCCACCGTCATGAGCACGGCCATGACGAACATGCCGGCGATGCCGCACAGGATCATATTGCGGTTGCCGAAGCGCTGCGCCAGCACGCCCGTGAAGAAGGCCGGCCAGATGTTGATGAAGTTGATGATGAGCGTGCCCACGCGCGGGTCCGAGATGCCGGCGTCCTTGAAGATCGAGCTCGAGTAGTAGAACACGGCGTTGATGCCCGAGAGCTGCTGCGAGCACGACAGCAGGATGGCCGCGGCCAGCTGCAGGCGGTACTTGGGGGAGAACAGCGACTCCTTCTCAGCCGTGTTCTGGATCAGGCCCTGCTCGGCGTCCGGCTTGCTCGACGACTCCATCCACGACAGCGCCGTGTACACGTGCTCCTCGCCGTACAGACGCGCGATGACCTGCTTGGCCTCCTCGCGGCGGTTCTTCATGAGCAGCCACGCCGGACTCTCCACGCACAGCGACGGCGCCAGCACCAGGAACAGCACGGCCAGGATGACCGGGAAGGCCGCCAGGTAGCGCCAGCCCGAGCTCGTGTTGGCGAAGAAGAAGGTGATGGCCGGGAACAAGATGCCGATGGTGACCGAGATCTGCAGACCCAGGCCCAGGATGTTGCGCATGTGCGGCGGCGTCAGCTCGTTCGTGTAGGCGCCGAGCGTGCCCGTGGCCGTGCCCGACGCGATGCCGGCGATGAGGCGGCCGGCCGAGAAGGCCCAGACGTTCGACACGGACGCCTCGACGACGGCGCCCACGATCATGAAGATGCAGTTGACGAAGAGCAGCTTCTTGCGGCCCCACAGGTCGCTGAAGTGGCCGCAGAACAGAGAGCCGACCATGCCGCCGAAGATCCATGCGTTCACGGCGAACGTCCACTCGAGCTTGGAGTGGCCCGGGAACATGAGGCACGTGTCCTCGGCCACGGGCCGCGCGTTGCACTCGTCCGTGTCGTTGTACTGCGACAGGTTGGTCTGCGAGGACGACCAGCCGCTCTGGAAGGGCTGCAGCAGCGCCACCAGGATGCTCGCGTACATGATGGTGTTGGGCTTGATCTTGCGGGCCTCGGCCTTCTGGGTCTCGTCGAAGAACGGGACGTTGTCATGGCCGTTGGGGGTGGTGGCCTCGGAGTAGGCCGGGTCGGTGGCTGCTTGGGAAGGCATGGCTGAGGGCGCGTACAGTTCGCCAGTCGTGCAGGTGAAGCTGGTTGGTTGGTGTGCTTCGAAGTAAGCTTGGGTTGTCGAAATGAAAACTGAGGTACGTTGGATCGGAGGCGCGACTTGCGGCGCGGTAGATGAGGATCCCCTCCGCCCTCTCTGGTGCGGGTGTTGGCTGGTGGGCTCGATCGAACCGACATAGATGCGATCACATAACTCTGTTGACTATCGAAATGAGGACGGCACGGGTGCACTTGATTCATGGCGCGTGAGTCTTTGTGCGGTGTTGGAAACCTGTGACGCCAAGTTGTACTCTTCTTCCTGGGAATAGGATTCCCTTGGGGACACACAGATATAGTCGGGTTCGTTATCGGATAGTCTCCGACGGAGACCACCATCAAAGGCTCACTCGCCGCCAGTCTCGCGCTCCTCCCTCAACAACACATAGATGGCGCGTAGGGGCACTGGTCAACCGCAAGGTTACAATACTGTCGGTACAGTGGGATCCCCGGTTGCTTGATTCAGTTTTTACGACGCGGATCGCTGAAGATATCTGGTAGGCCTCAGATAATAGTATACCAGCTCTCCTAATTAAAATTGTATTATTCTGTTGGGTCGACGGCTGCCGTTTTCAGGAAATCTATGGCAGCCATGTTGCAAGGATGCTTCAGTTGTTGACGCATAAATCACATACATGTATTATATGTCACAATCTTTATTTTACCAGTAACAACAATATAACTTAGATGTATTAATATTTATAGTATTACTATACTCTAGAACACTGTAATTTAAAATAATATCGTATTAAAATATTTATTGCATTAATATACTTTAGAGCACTACAATTTAGAATGAGAACAACCTTTGCTCGTACAGAAACTTGTCTTTTTTTCGGTGGTGGTCCAGATTCGTCAACAGATCCAAGCACGGATCGTGCTGCACATGATTGTCAAACCAGGCAACCCAGCGATAAGTTGAGAACCTCAGCTCACGGCTCAACGTTCGATTCAATTAATACACCAAGTTATTATCCACACTTGAATGCACCCCGTGCCAAGACGCTTGCTTCCACTCAGGGCCCCTGAGTCAGGGACTGAATCAAGCGGGGGCAAGCAGCGACAGCCGGCGGTCCCACTACAGCGTCGGTTGAAGTGGGCATGGTGAGTCGCGTATCTGTGCACTGTTGAAGGAAGTGCGCAACACAGCCCCAAGATGACGCCCAAGCAGACTTTGGTGGTGGCCGAAGGCCTGTATGCCCCCAAGTGTATCGTTTCCTTTTCCAACTCGACTTGAGGCGGTGCAATTTGATGTCACAGCTTTCCAACAACGTGCAAAGACCCACGCACCGTGAATCAAGCTCACCCGCGTTCGATACAACGGAGCACACTCTGATCACAAGCTCGTGTCGGTCACTGGGACCCCACCAGTAAGCCCAATCACACACAGGGCGCTAAAGACCAAGGCCTTAGAGGGTCTTCTTGCACCACAGCCTACCGCGCTGCAAGTCGCGCTTCCAATCCAACGTACCTCAGTTTTCATTTCGACAACCCAAGCTTACTTCGAAGCACACCAACCAACCAGCTTCACCTGCACGACTGGCGAACTGTACGCGCCCTCAGCCATGCCTTCCCAAGCAGCCACCGACCCGGCCTACTCCGAGGCCACCACCCCCAACGGCCATGACAACGTCCCGTTCTTCGACGAGACCCAGAAGGCCGAGGCCCGCAAGATCAAGCCCAACACCATCATGTACGCGAGCATCCTGGTGGCGCTGCTGCAGCCCTTCCAGAGCGGCTGGTCGTCCTCGCAGACCAACCTGTCGCAGTACAACGACACGGACGAGTGCAACGCGCGGCCCGTGGCCGAGGACACGTGCCTCATGTTCCCGGGCCACTCCAAGCTCGAGTGGACGTTCGCCGTGAACGCATGGATCTTCGGCGGCATGGTCGGCTCTCTGTTCTGCGGCCACTTCAGCGACCTGTGGGGCCGCAAGAAGCTGCTCTTCGTCAACTGCATCTTCATGATCGTGGGCGCCGTCGTCGAGGCGTCCGTGTCGAACGTCTGGGCCTTCTCGGCCGGCCGCCTCATCGCCGGCATCGCGTCGGGCACGGCCACGGGCACGCTCGGCGCCTACACGAACGAGCTGACGCCGCCGCACATGCGCAACATCCTGGGCCTGGGTCTGCAGATCTCGGTCACCATCGGCATCTTGTTCCCGGCCATCACCTTCTTCTTCGCCAACACGAGCTCGGGCTGGCGCTACCTGGCGGCCTTCCCGGTCATCCTGGCCGTGCTGTTCCTGGTGCTGGCGCCGTCGCTGTGCGTGGAGAGTCCGGCGTGGCTGCTCATGAAGAACCGCCGCGAGGAGGCCAAGCAGGTCATCGCGCGTCTGTACGGCGAGGAGCAC